TGTGTCTCCCTCTCTCTCTGCCCCTCCCCCGCTCATGCTCGCGCTCGCTCGCTCTCTCTCTCTCTCTCCCTCTCTGTCAAAAATAAATAAAACATTTAAAAAAAATTTTTTTAAAAGAGCTGGTCAATGGATCCATCTGGTTACCACTGGCTCCAAAGTGAAAATTAAATATGAACAGCTTGAACAAATAATCATTTATCTGACACCCTAAGACGAAATTATCTGGAAGAGCTCAGATAACCTTTTACAGATGAGCAGTCACACACTTCCTTCCTGTGTGTATAGATTAACTTCCAGGCTTATTAGCTGAATCATTTCAGATGAACTCACATTACCATCGTTCTGTGAACGTAGTGTTATTCGTTTCCCAAATGCCGCTATAATAGGATGTTCCGAAGAAAGCTAAATTCCCTATTACAGCTAGAGAAATTTAAAAGAATAAGTCAGAAGTTTACCTTCATAAATGACCCTGCTCTGACTAAAAGCACAACAATGAGGAAATGTTCGTGGAAGTATTAACACACATATCAGCTCCAACACCATGAAATACTATTAAGTATTTGGTCAACCCGTTTGGAATCTTAGGGACTTCTTAAGAATTTTGAGACTAAAAACTTCCAGCAGAAATTCAAAATATATCAAATGCCTATGTGGGAACGGCTTCAGGATGAGAGCCTTTTCAAGTTACACACATAAATATGAACACACTTAAAACAGGTTACCGGGAAGTGATTTCGACTTACATATCCACACAACACTGAGGCTTTACTGCACCTGCAGCATCGACGACAACATACTTATTTGGAGTAGTACACAAAACTGAAAGAAAAAGTCACAATGGCCATTAGTGTTTTTTAAAAATTAGTTTCTACAAGTAAAAAATTAGTAGGGACTAGTTAAAACTCCATGAAATAGACCTGGGAGACTCACCTTTGAACTTTAAGGCAAACTCATAGGGATTATACAGAGTCAACACTTGTTTATGTGTTGACTGGTCATCTGCATAAAATATTAGCTCCGTGGGAAACACAAAAACAGGAAGATTTCCTTCCACTAACTCTGGCTGTCTTTTTTGTTGATGCATTGGCACTGAATCCCCCTTGCTGCAGCTTCTGTTTTTACAGTCTCAAATCTATTTTGGACTTTTCTTAAGTCAGTTAGTTAAAAACTCCAAAGCATTTTGGCAATCTAGAAAGAGAAGAAGAGAGAAGGAAATCGAATGATACCTGTTTTCATTTGTTGTCCCTCCACAAAAAAGCATGTTCAGCTTGCATTAAAATAGGTCCCCAAATCATTTTAAAGATATCTTTTGACTTTTCCTCTTGGCCTACTTATACGGTTAGTACCAAACTATGCAAAGAAATTTACACACACTCCTTCACATTCAAGATTTCAACCTATGATAAATTACATAAATGCTAGAATAAAGAAGTGTTTCTACCTCAAATTAATCACCCTCTTCCAAAGAGGTGCGATCACGGACAGCACTCTTTTAAAACCTCGGATTTCTTAAGAAGTGGAATAAATCAAGGGTGCCTGAGTGGCTCGGTCGGTTGAGCATCCGACCCTGGATTTTGGCTCAGGTCACGATCCCAGGGTTGTGGGACTGAACCCCATGTCAGGCTCCACGCTCAGCATGGAGCCTGTCTGAAATTCTCCCTCCCTCTCTCTTTCTCTCTCGTTTTCTCCCTCTCTCTCTGCCCCTCCCCTGCTCGCACTCCCTCTTAAATAAACAAACTTCTCTAAAAAAGAATAAATCAAGTATTGTCACAACTGACTTTATGTGAGCTAACCAGACTTCTTAAAGACTAAAAAGTATAAAACAAAGGAAGTTTCCGTGATTTGTGGGAGAAAAACATGAGACTTACTTTCACACTCATTTCGACCATGCTTTAGTTAGTGCTTTCTGGCCGCATGGGTGGAAGAGTTCTTTTCATCTTTTTTCTACCGAAAACCCAAGACAAGCAAAAATGTCTTGAAAGGAAGCTGAATATCCAGACTTGTTAAGGAGTCCTTGGGAGTCTTCTATGAAAATTCAAAGTCAGTAAATAGGCTGTGGCATGCAAGTGGCACTGTGCCTCCCCTCCTACGTCAAGTACACAGGCTTCGTGAGAACTATTTGCTTCCAACTTAGAGACCTTTTGGATTCCTTCTGGGGTTCTCGAGTATGTTCTGAATAGTTGTGGCTGGCAGAAGTCTGACGGTCCGGTGTGTGTGATGTTTCTGTGTTTGTTTCTCGGGCTAATTTTAATCAACAACGTTCCGATTTAGCTACCATCCTAAGAATGTGGCTTTTGAAAATGCAGAAGCTGGAACGACGCGATCACAGGAAATGTCTGATTTTTCACTCGGTAGAGCATACCTTTAAAATAGGCCATACGCCACTTAATACTTTGCGTTCAGGTTCCCACACAGTCAAAGAGAAATAGAACAGAAGATTAAGCTGTTTGGTTTTACCAGCTATCAGGGGCCTGTGTGCTGATTCTGCCTGAGGCCTTTCTAACTTTCATCAAGGAAGATACTGTGTAATCATGGATACACGTTTTTATTCTTTCCTTTCAGTTGAACACCTGTTGTAAGCCAGCAACTATGTCAGGGGCTGTGCAGAGATACACAGAGGGCCCTGACCTCAAAAGACTCGAGTCTAACTGATGGAACAATATTTAATCTACCCCTGTCATGAGGCACACCACTCTATATAAAAGTGCTAGGCATTTACAAGACTACCTGAGTTAGTCTTCCTGGAAGAGGGGCCAAGGGACGACATTTGAGGTAGTTCCTAAAGAAAAAAAAGACATATACTTCTGTGTCTGGGGGGAGGGTGGGGGCCACAGGTAGGAAAGGCTCTCTGACCTAGGGAACGGCCTATGCCAAGTCACAGAAATGCGGAGGTGAGGGACAACATTGGGAAGGTCATAATCTCCAAGCTTTCCCGGATCATCATTTGACTTATCCTTATACTTTGTGGCACACGTGTAGCTCATGACAGCTGTGGGGTGGTTTTGGGTTTGGGGTTTTTTTGACCAAGCTGAAAGGGCCTATTGACATTTCTATTAGTAATAACATTTAATATGTGTATCATTCATAACAGATTACAAACTTTTTATTAATTACACATACTGAATTAATTAATACATGCAATGCTTTTAGCACTTACTGTAGGCCAGGCAATGTTCTAAGTGTTTGCTGGGGTTAGTAAATGAGGAAGAGACTAGACAGAGACAATAAAGTCAGCAGGCCTCCTGCCCTCAGTCCAGCGTCTCCACTCTACCAAACTGTCCGTTGTAATA